TTCATGAAGGAGGCTTTACATGAATATTACAATTGCGTAAAAATTACAAGCAAGGCTATATACATCCAGTTAAATACTTCAGGGATATTTAATACTTTGATCATTTTATTTTATTGAATACGGGCCAGGTAGACACAGTATGATCTATGGCGTTTCCGTTGTGTTCCCATGAAGTACAGGATTCCAATGGAATCCACCTGTACTATGATGGAGAAGATGTGGGGATCCTCATTCAAGCTAACAGCTAGAGTTGCAGTAATATGTAAGAAATCTCCATGAGTAATAAGGTTTTGAAATTCATTCACAATGGTTGGAAAATCAATTGAACATAGCTGAAAACCACACAAAACTGGGGCCACAAGAGCGTTCCACTCTCTTCTTTTAATGGGCAGTCAGGGTTGGGCACGCGCTCTTCTGGTTACATATGGTCTGTCTCTTCACGTCCTGTCTCGCCACTCCTGTCCATTATTGAGCTTTCGTCCCAGCTCGTGGCTCTCAAGTGCGGCTTTCAAGGAAGGTTTCCAATTTATTCAACATCAAAGCTTCAGTATGTTCAGCAACCATGAGAAGAGTAGAGATGGCTTCCCTTGTGCAACAGCCAATACTCGTCCTTGCACTCGGGTCTCCAGAAGTGCCAGGATTTGGAAAAAGACAATGACAGAAAGCAGAACTATTACACAGAATCGTCTAAAGCAGTCGGCTACGGCGGAGATTATGGACAACCCCACTTGGGATGCATCTGTGGGTAGTTTTTGATCTCGCAAACTGCCCAGTTCCGCTCCTTTCCAGGCTGGTCAACCGCGCAAGGGAGCAAAACGTGCGAAGGGAAACCAAGCTTTCTTCTTCAGGTTCTGCGGTGGCCATATTTGGCCGTCAGGGCTGGTTGAGGTAAAGCGAATTTCTGCCTACTGGTAGGGGTGCGGTGGTGGCACAAGCTCGTCCTGACATGTCTCGAAAGTCAAACATCATTCCTGTCATAAAATGTTGAGAGCTGCCTTCCCCTGCTTTTGTACGGAGCCTTCAAACCTGTGCGGACGCATGTGTGTCTGAATGCTCACGCGGTTCGCTGCGTGTGCACGTGGGAGCGTGTGCATAGTCATTCAGGGAACTTTGAAGCTCTGGTTTGCAACTCGCAGACCGGATCCGCCGCAGCCTCAGCCTTCGGCCATCGAAACCAGCTGCTAATGTGCTTGCTGCCTAATGCGGTTTGATGCCTGATTCTCCGAGGCACGGACGCTGCAAGTTGGTGAGTTTGCAACTTGGCATGGAAGGTCTGAAAGGTTCGAGCGTGCTGGTCCATTGCACGGCCTCTTACGATTCTTACGCAGCGTTCCAGGTGGCTTGTTTCTCGACGGGGACGCAGGAGCTGCTTTGCAGAACCCTAGATTACTGGAAAGATGCAGTTGATGTTGCGGGACAGTCACCACGGGAAAGTAGATGGCATGGGCATGATGAACAAATGCAACTGTCTGCAAGCAAAGATGGCTTTGCAAAGGTCCGGCTGCAATGTGGTGCTTCACCTCCCAACAGTTTCACCCGCTGCTCAAACTTTCACGGCCTTGTAGGCTTCTGGTCTATGAAGGGCAGGCAGACCTCGCAAGAGCTCATGAAAAGGGTTTGCCAAGTACTTTCCGCAGTGTGCCGCAAATAGCTTTTGCTGTGAACACACGTGGCATCATGTGTAATATTGCGCAAGCAATGTTTTTCGGGTTTCCCGCATGGTTAAAGAGTGCTGGGACCTTGAAACAATGTTGGCTTAACCTTTGAATCTCCGAAAGACACGCTCGAAATAGTCTGATGTGTGCTCGTGTGGTGAACCTAGTGCGCGAGCGGTTGTCATGGGCAGACCACACTGACACACACTGACTATTGTTTGTGAAGAAGCACTCATCCATGGAGCTTGCTGTCGCGGTTGTGGGTTAAGGACAAGGCTACGTGTCAAACATCGTCCTTGGGCACCGCAGCATGTGTAAAGTAAAGGCGTAGACTTCTGTTGACCCCAAAAGGGATTAGGTGCAGTGGAGGCATGCCGATGCAAAATGGACTTCGAGTGTTGGAAACGCAGTAAATACCGATGCAATCGGCATGTCGATTTCTACATGAGAATCAATAAAATCAGACACATATGCGGATTGGGGCCCATGCACCTTTATGGTCGAGGATGCAAAACATTCAATTTACTTAAACTACCTTGCTTGCCAGTGCATTCATCT